GTGCGCGAACGCCCTACCGACAGACAAAGCTGCCGAGCGCATGGCAGACGCCCAGGCGCAGGAGGATTGGAATTGGTGCGACTCTGCAACGTTGCCGCCCGAGAAAAAGACAACCGCAGCGTCGGCTCAGGAAAAGGGGGGCGGGCCCGCCGCGCAGCCCGTGGTGATCACGTTCAACGCGATGATTGGGCGCCCCGGGAACGGACGGGCCACCGTTGTGAGGGGGGAGAGGCCAGCAATGTGGTTGCCACTGCCAGTCGCGGAGTGGTTGGGCCAGGCAGCCGCCCGGGACATGGGCAAGAAGGAGGCCTACTTGGGGTCGGTGCTGCAGGTGCTACGGGAGAAGCACTTGGCGCTCTGTTCGCGCGTTGAACAGGGCACAGAATCGAACCTATCTGTGGCCCTGACCCGCCACACAACGATCAACAACGTGAAAGTGTGCACCAAAGCCGCAGTGGCGGCTGGCAAACTCGTGTTGTGGCCATGTGTGCCGAAGCAGAACAACGCGTGGGATGCGAGCAATCGCAAAGGCAAGGTCCACGTGGAGGTGTGGGCCAAGAACCCAGAAGAGCCTGCGATGACTTCGTTCTACATGCATCCAGAGTTTGCCGCGCCCGAAAGCAAGACGTCCTACGATGTGTGTGTGTGTGGTGTGTGTGTGTGTGTGTGTGTGTGTGTGTGTGTGTGTGTGTGTGTGTGTGTGTGTGTGTGGTGTGTGTGTGTGTGTGTGTGTGTGTGTGGTGTGTGTGTGTGTGTGTGTGTGTGTGTGTGTGTGTGTGTGTGTGTGTGCGTGTGGGGGGGGGGGGGGGGGGGGGGGGGGGGCGGACCCCGCTCAACGAGAGTGGAAGTGGGCGGGCAAGGAGTCCATGCACCCCTTCTGGAACGTGACGAAGCTCACGGCCGAAGAGCTTGGAACGCGAAACGTCACTGAAGCAGAGGCGGGGCGAGCGCGTTTTAACGTGGAGCTCACGCCGAATGAAGTGAACATAGTCATCTGCTGTCGGGTCATCTGCGTCCGAGTCCCAGCGGCGACCAACACGGTGGATCTCCAGGCGGACGAGGAACTGATCATGGAAGACACACATGTGAAGAAGAAGAAGAAGGAAGCGGCCCCGACCGACTGGAGGAAAGCCGCGAAGAAGGCCAGAGCGAAGCCGAAGAGCCAGCCGCAGCATCACAAAACCGTTTTCGACGAAAATGGCCGCCGGGACATCTGAAGCGGAGGGCGCAGTGGCGCCCGTGCTCCGATGGGCGCACTGGCGCCCATGCAGTGGCGCCCATGCACCGACGCTGACGGGGACGCAGGCACGGCGGCGAGAACAATGAGGATCGCAGGCGTGCTGAAGTGGGGGGTGCGCCCTCTCTTTCCCCTCTCCCCCCCCCCATCCTCCCTCCAGCCCCCCTCGGGCGGCCCCCCGCGCTGCGGTTCTGCAACTCCTCTTAGAGGAGTTGCAGAACCCGGGGCCAGGCGGGCCGCCCGAGGGGGGTTGGCGCCGATGGGGGCCGCCAGAGGCTTCGAGGGCGCTGGGGGGGAGGGCGCGGGGGAGAGGGGGAAGAGAGGAGGAGGGGGGAGGGGGGGGAGAGGACAGATGAGAGAATACAGAGGTGGAGGAGGAGAAGGAGGAGGAAGAGGAGGACGGGTTGGAGGAGGACGAGGGGGGATGTCGGACGAGCAGCGCGGGGACATGGTCGGAGAGAGGGGTGACGGGCAGCGCCGTGTGGCAGGATGGGGAGCTGGAGAGCAATGCTGCGCGGTGCAACCGCAGCGCATAGGCTCCAGCGCAGACGCTCGTTCCCTTAGGCTCCGCTTGCGCGGCGGGCGACGCAGTGGCGTTCATGGCGAAGGCGAAGACCCAGCGTGTTACCCCCCAGTGGGAACCCGCGCAGCTGGGCGACCGATTCTGCGTCTGGGGCGGTCGGTTGACAGAGCCGCGCCCGCTCTTGGATACCGAGGAGATCTATACCGTCGCAGGGCGCCTGAAGTTCGTCAACTTCTCTCTGGGCCTGCCGTGGGCACAGCATGCGCTCGGCCACGCGCTCAGGCGCGGCCGCGGGGGCACGGGGAAGGTGCAGGGGCCCGCGTGGAAGGGGGGTCGTGGACGATTTCAAGGCCCGAGCGCGAGCCGAGGACGCCGCAGTGGCGGCTGGCGAAGACGAAAAGGGAGAAGACGCCGTGGACGCCATGGGCGCCACGGGCGCCCTGCTCGACTTGCCCGATGCCGCCGCGGAAGATGCCGCAGCGGCAGCGGAAAAGAAACAAAAGGTGTTGGGGCGCCTCGTTGTTTGTTCCGTGCGTGAGAAGTGCCCGCTCGAGTTCCCCGACGTGACGGACGAGAGGGAGGTGTGCCTGATCTCGTTCAAGAAGAACGAGTGCTGGATCCGCGAGACGGACGTGCCCTGGCTCTTCGAACGGCTCAGGTCCGAGAATGATCTGGCGGGGGTCCCGCTGATTCAAAAGCCAGACGACGACTACGCCGCAGTGGCGGCCGCCGCTAGCGGGACGGATTCGCGAAATAGCTTGCCCTCTAGAGAGAACGCGGGCTCGCAGACACCGACAAAAGCAGCCAGTCCACCAGCTCCTGTGGACCAGGCGGCCAGTGCCCAGGACACCGTGCACGCTGGCTACACGCGCCGATGGCTGTTCCCCACCATGGAATGCAAGGGCGCGTGGGAGGGCCCGGTCACGCGCGCAGTGGATTGGCAAGGGAAGGTTGTCGCGCGCCAGCTGGCCACCTTCACCCGCGCGAAGCGGTTGCAAGTCTAGAGTGGCGACGAGCTTCCCTGCGCGCGGCACAGGGCCAGTCATCTGCAGAAGAAGGAGGCCTGCAGGCTCTACCTGGAAGCGCACGTGGCCGCGTTGCTGCAACAATTTCCTGCGGCCTAAAGCCGCAGTGGCGGCTCCGTTGGGTGCCTCGCCATTGTCCTGCGGGGGGGGGGGGGGGGGCGCGCTCGCCTTGGGGCTTTCATGGCGAGTCGCGGCGGCGCAGGGTCCAGTGCCAACGAGACCCATTCACAAAGTCATGCTTTGACGGCCCGTGAGGGAAACGCAGCCCCTGCGCCCGCCCCCCTTGCTTTTCGCTTGCTTCTCCGCCTGCTCCTCTGCAGCCGGTGGTCTTGCCCCCCATTGCCATCCGCTGTGCGCCTCTCCCTGCTTGTTCGTCCGCGACGCCCTTTTCGCATCAGAGGGCTGCTCCAATGGGCGGCGGTGCGCGCGCGCAGGGGGCCTGCGCGAACGATGCCTGCCAAACGCCCGCCAGATGGCACATGCGGGTGCACGTGCCGCAGCCTAGGTGCACGATGGCATGGCGTGGACGTGTTCACGGGGGAGAAGATCGAGCGCGAGCGGGCGAAGAACCCCGAGACGCAATCCGTTCCGCGTGTGACGCAGTACGGCAAGACAGGGATGGTAAACATCTGTCGCCGCAGTGGCGGCGCCGAGGTGCCTGCGGGTTCGTTGAAGGTGCGCTGCTGCTTGCACGATCCGCGCCAGGCAGACTGGCCAGCGACCCAGTTTGGCATCGCCCCCCCCCCCCCCCCCCGCCATGCAACTCCGACCGACAGGTTGGCGCCCGCCAGGGGCAGCTGCCCCTGAGCAAGAGGCGCAGCCAGCGCCAGCTGCCGCTGCGCTTGGGCCAGCGGAGCCAGCAGCGCCGCAGCCAGGGACGACGGCTCCGCCTCTGCCACCCCCAAATGAAGCACCACCGCCAGAGCTACTGCCAGGGGGGGCACCCCCGCCACACGCAGACGAGGTAGCGCCAGCGCCAGCGCCGCCAACGCCAGATGAGCCAGCGCCAGGGCCGCCAACGCCAGAGCCAAACCCTGATGAGCCAAAGCCTGAGGAGGCAGAGCCAGGGGTGGTAGAGGGGGCAGAGGAGGCAGAGGAGGCCGAGGAGGTAGAGGAGGCAGAGGAGGCAGAGGAGGCAGAACCAGAGCCTCAGGAAGCCAAAGAGGCAGAGGAAGCGGAGTCTGAGGGAATCCGCAGCCCCCCGCCCACGCCGCCAGCCACATGGGGCTCCTGCTGCACAGTTGGCTGCAGAGGCGAGCTCCCTGCACCCGCCGCCCGCGGAGCCCGCGTCCGCCCCTCTGCGACGTCGAGCTGCGGCCCCTCCCTTGGCCAAGGGACAGGGTGGGCTCTTCGAATGCGGCTTTCAGTGCAACGATCCCCCCTCCGCTGGCCTTGGCCTTGGGTCGAGCGAGCCCGCCGACGCGGAGGCGGCGGACGCGGGCGCGGGAGCGGTGGGATCGGGCCCCAACCGAGCGCCGACAGGGCGCCGACAGGGCACCGCCCAGGGCCGCAGTGGCGGCCTCGACAGGGCACCGCTCAGTGCCGCATTGGCTGCCGCTGCGCCGCTCAAAGTGCTGGGTCTGGCCGGGGAGATCTTCGCGAGCGGCAAGTGCGTCGGGCGCTCCGCCTTCGTGCTCTTTGACCTGCGCTACAACGTTCTCCCACTGATGTGGGAGGGGGAGAACCCCATAGACCTCCTCGCCGTCTACGCTCCCTGGGCGCTGGAGACCCGTTGCGCGCCCTGCGCCGTGGAGGGCGTGGCGCTCGTCCGCCGACCAGGCGCGACGTGGTCCGCAGTTGCGGACCTTCTGCCCGTGGGCGATCTGAAGGATGCCATGGGCCAGCCAGTCAATTGCCTCCAGAACGTCAATCACTTGGTTGCGGCCGTGATCAGTGGCGGGGGTCACGAGGGCGCAGAGGCGGCCGACGAGATGATCAAGTTCTACCAAAATCGGGCGCGCTTCGTAAACCCCTCCCCTAGGGGAAGAGGGAAGATGGAAGAGACAACTCCCTAAACCATTCACGCCCAGAGGGCTGGTGGGATTAGTTCCTCCCCACCTCCTCCTCCTCCTTCCCATCTTCCACCTCCCCCTTCCAATCCTCATATCATTATGTGTACGTTCCTCTTCCTCCTCTTCCTCTTCCGTGTTTACTCATCTCCCGTCCGCCTTGTGTATGTTATCATATCATGTCGCTGCTCATATCTCCTGTGCAGGCACGTGCCTCGCGTTGGTTGACATGTCGCTCACCCAGTTGGGTCGGCTGTGTCCCGGCCAGGAGCACATGGGTGAATGAAGAGAGGGTGGGGACTGGGAGTGGGCCAGATGGGGGTAGGAGAAAGATGGTGGAGGAGGATGTGGGCAGGGTATTCAGGCAGTTGAGGAACGGTCGTTCTAGGTGATGGGGGGCCCTAGTCTGTCCTATGTACGTCGTGCTGGCAGAAGGAGGGGCAAGAGGAGGAGGGGACGTTACATGTGAAGGAGGCGTGTGGAGGGAGACACGGAGGTGAAGGGCAGGAGTGCGGGAGGGAAGGCTTGGAGGCAGCATAGTTGCTACAAGCAATTCTCCCTCTGCCCCGCCCCTCCCTTAGCTAGTATGTCCTGATTCCTCATGCCTTGTCATTGATGTCGCCTCCCGCAGGCGCGGATGCGCCGTCACGCGCGTACATGTGTAGAGTGGCACAGCCAGTCCATGCACACGCCCTTGAATGTTCATGGGTTCGCGTTCGCGTCTGGATAATGGCGCGCGTGGCCCTCCCAGCATTCACTTGACACGGATGGTGGCCGCTCGGGGCACGCACGATTTGACTGCGATGTATTTATTGTGTTGCGGGGATCGCAAGATCAACGCTCGTTCGCCGCATAACACGATTTGGCCGACATGGCGGATGGGTGGAGGGGGGGCGGATCCGAAGTGAATTGCAATGATGTAAACACAAATTTAGAATCGAAGACCGTGACACATATTGTCAGGTTCGCCAGAACATGCCCAGGCCCGATCTTGCGGCCCAGTAGAGGTTGGTAGTGCAAGTGCATGGTAGGGTATGGAAGGCTCTACTACCAAGCGCTGGACACACATCAGAGCTGAGGAGGTGAAGGGGAGGAACAATCAGGATGGTGGGGGCAGCGGGAACAGCCTAGATATAGACGGGGAGAATAAAGGGGATAGGAAGGATGATGAGGAATAGCATTCGGCAGGGAGAAGAGACGGAGGGGGCGCGTACAGGAGTAGAATTGGGAGGAGGTCGAACAGGATGGAATGGGGGGGAGGAAGACGCGGAGGGGAGGATGGCAGGGAGACAGGGGAAGAAGATGATAAGATGGAGGATGATGAGGAGGAGGAGGAGGATGAGGAGGAGGAGGAGAGAGAAGGGCGAGGAGGGTCAGAAGTGGAAGGAATAGAAGGAGGAGGTGGATGAGGAGTGTAAGGACGACGACGGTGGCATGGTGATCAGGAGGACGTGCAGGAACCAACGAAGAGGGATCATAAGGAACGGAGAGTGAGTAAACGGGGGAGGAAGAGAAGAACGCAGGAGGGCAGAGGAGGACGGAGGGAGGAGAAGGACGATGCGCAGTCGAGGTGAAAGGAGAGGAATACCAGCTGAAGGCAGAAGATGGGGAGAGGGAGAAGGGAGGAGGAGGATGAAAAGGAGGAAGATCAGGAGGAGGAGGAGGAGGGAGGAAGAAAGAGAGGCAGGATAGGACGACGAGAGGATGAGGGGGGGAGGGGGGCAGGCAGGAGCAGGAGGAGGAGGATGAGGAGGAAGTATGTGAAGGGGGGAGGATGAGGGGGAGCTGCGCTGGCCAGGAGCAAGCCTTCCGCGCTACGCCTCAGCCTCAGTACCTGGTCCCTTGCGAGGAGCCCTCCTCGGTGTCGTCGCCGCTGGTGTCGTCCCCGCTGTGGTCGTTCTCGTCCGTCGTCTTCGTCCTTCCGTCGGCGTCGTAGTCGTCGTCCGTCATCCGTCGTCCTTCGCCCTCCTCGTCCTGCCCAACCTGTCTCCCCCTCCTTGTCCTCCTCTCTCGTCCCCCTCCTCGTCCTCCTCCTTCTCGTCCTCCTTTCCGACCCCGTTTCCTCGAAAAACAGTCCTCCGTGTCCCACCGCTAGCCAGACGTGTGGGCAGGGACGTCCAGGCGCGTCGCCTGGGACATCCTGTCCGTTTTCGATCCAGAAGCTGGGTAGCGCCAGGAGCTGCACTGGCGAAACGCGGCCTGGCCTCTCCGAGTGTGGCGTCTCGCGCTTTGGCGCAGCGAGCGCTTGCTTTAATTGGTTGGTGCGCTCAAGGAAGGGCTGCCCCCTGCGAGGAGTTGACGAAGTTGGCATCTGCTCCTCGGCGGCGGAAGGGCGGCGGAAGCAGCACCAGGGCCGCTCCACCAGCGGATGCCGGGGGCATCAAAAGTGCGCCTCTGCGAGATGGCATGTCGTTGTGTCCAGGGTTTTTTCGGAACCCGCCATCTTAAGATAATTGCCGCACGTTGCACGCGGGGGATCTACAAGTGGGCGTTGCGACAAGCAGATTCACAGTAAGCACCTCCGTCAATTGCGCGGATGGAGGGTATGTCCTTTAAACAAGTGGATCTCGCCTCTTCGAGCCGCGCGCATGTGTTTAAATTGAGACAGATGCAGCGATGAGTATAGCGATTCTTGCTCGGAATGCTGCTTTCGTTTGGGCATCCTCAGGATCTGCGACCGAGGTGACCCAGCGCTTCTTCATGTGTTCAAGGCTGGCACGGGTCGATGGCGGCCCTTATCCAACATGGTGTTCTTGCTCGAAATCGCTTCAGGCAGCATAGTTCGCAAGTCAGACCTGCCAAACAGTTACACGTATGGAGTGCGTTCCTCACGAGAAAAGGAGTTTCCCTTGACACCTCGTGACCTTCACGACCTTGCATCCTGGCACCTTCTTAAACATATGGCCCCAATGATGCAGACGGGCCCCTGCCCGCAATGACTTTTCTCCTTTCCGCAACGTCCATGAGGCGGTAATCTTTCAAACGGGCGCCCTCGATAACAAGCAGGAAGGCTGCCAGGGACGGTTGAGGATGAGACTTGAAACGGGAGGGTGTCGTGCAGCATCGTCGACACATCGTATATGTACTCTGCTCGCCCTTCCTTCTCTTCTCCCGCCCGCCCTCTGTCCTTCTCGCCCGTCCTCATATTGCTGCTCCTGCTTCTCCGCCATCCCCATTCTCTTCCTCACTCCTCCTCGACAATAGTTGTGATCCTCCGGGTATACCCACCAGCCCATCAACTAACGACAATCGGGCGAGTTGGTCTGACTAGGGAAGGCTATGTTGAGGATGAGGGGTGAATTTGAGGACCTAGGTGTGAATCGGGAGGATGAGGACGATGACGAAGAGAATGAAGAGAACAAGGAGGGGAGGACTATGGGCAGAAGTGGTCGGAGGAAGAGTGTGAGGGGGAGGAGGACGAGGAGGAGGATGGTGAGGAGGATAGGGAGGAGGTTGGGTTTGCAGGGTTTGCAAAGGTTTCTGGGGCCCAAGGTGCTGCAAGGTACTACAGGGCCGTGTTGCATGGTATTGCCGGTGTCTTTGCAGGTTTGTGTTCGCGTGCTCTGCTTCTCTCTCTCTCTCTCTTTCTCTCGTTCGCTGACTCTCTCTCTCCATGTTGGTGTATCTATATGTATATACAAGACGCCTACGGCGAATCACCGCCTACGGCGAACCACCGCTTCCCCCTGCCTTTTGGAAGCGCGTATGTGGCCGAGCATTGCGACCAGAGCTCGGCCAAGCTATCGGACTACGCGGTCCCCCAGCCGTTGTGGAAACCGTTCAGGAAACACGCGGTGGAGAGAAACACGAGAAGGAGAGGGAGGAAACAGGAGGAGAATGATAATAAGGAGGGGGAGGAGGAGGACGAGGAGGAGGAGGCATGCCGAAATCCTTCAAACACCTCCGGTTTCGGACGGATTTCAAAATCAAGAGTCCCAAAAACATACAAAACATAAGATTTCGAAACACATTGAGTTTCAACAAAAGTGTGCGCGCGCCCTTGCGAGTTCTTAAGAAAACCATAGGTTTTTCAACATGTTCATGAAACAAAGCTGCCCAACGGGCTTCGCGCGCGCGCTTGTCGAATCTGTTCGAAAGCCCTTGCGCGCGTGCTGGGGTGGCACGATTCGTGTCAAATCATACCATGCGAGCCACTCTCGCGCGTCTGCCGCGCGCATTGCGAATTCCTTTCAGAACCTTCATCATCGACGCGAAGACGCCGTGATCGTCGTCGGCGTGATCGGCATCGGCGCCGTCACTGGCCGTGCCGTCGTCGCTGTCAGCATCGTCAACAGCATCGCTATTATCGTCATCATCGCGTCTACATGTGTCGACGTTGCCATGAGACCGCACCCGCCCAAGTCGCCGACTCGCACTCAAGTGCCCGCCTGGATGTGCCAAGCCGTCAGCACCACCGCGGCCGCGGCGGTCGCGCCAAACTACTTGGCCGCTGCGCGCGCGCATGCGCGGGCTGGCGCGGCCGCAGGGATGCACCAGCCAGCGCCAAGCACTCATCGCAATCGCCGCCGCATGAGGTTTGCAAACAAAGTTGCCAGATGGTGGGTGGGACGTTTGCGCGAGCAGTGGAGTGGACAATTCACTGCGAACATAATCACATTACAGCAAGTAGCTTTCACCACATCGCTGACATCGCATCGTTTGCACCTGCGGTGCAGAGCTTGCACAATGTAGCTTGCACCACACTGTTTTCGCTCAGCTGCTTCCACCACATAACTTGATCTACCTGGATTATACCATATAGCTCGCACCACGTAGGATGCACCACGTAGCTGACACATCCACAGTGCAATGGCTTCCCGCTTGAGGTCCACGCTGGCAAACACCACTTAAGCACATATTCACGAACATGTGATCTGTTTATCTGTGTAGATGCATATAGATGATACCCCCGAGGGGGGAGGGGAGGAATGAGGCCGAGACAGCAGAGGGGAAGATAGAGTTGGGTGAAAGGAGAAGGGAGCAGGGCGGAGACAGCACGCGGAGCAGGCATGGGGCTGAGGAGAAGGAAGAGGAGGAATGACCAGACGGAGTGACGAATTGGCTGCCCCTAGGTCCTCCCGCTTTCCGCTTCCCTGCTCATGCGCGTCCTCCTCCTCCTCCTCCTCCTCCTCCTCCTCCTCCTCCTCCTCCTCCTCCTCCTCCTCCTCTACCTCGCATTATTCCTTCCCCTTTCCTCCACTGTCCACCTTCCGTCCCTCCCTGCCTCCCTCCCCCCTCCCCCTCCTCTATCATCCCCCTCCCCCTCCTTCTTCCCCTCATCCTCGGCATTCTCCTCGCCCGTGCCCTCTGCCCCTCCCCCACTCCCCGCCGCGCCATCTTCCTGCGAGGAGGCCCCCTCCGGCAAATGTGAGGATACCGCCACGTCGGCCTGAGGGCCGCAGAACGGCCCTCTGTCGCTCGGACCGGCAGTTTGCCGAGTCAAAGGCCCAGGAGGGGAGAGGCCGATGAGGAGGAGGAGGAGGAGGAGGAGGAGGATCTCGCCTTCCCGAGGGCGTTAAATTGCGTGGCGTTCATTGTTTTTTTACCGTGGGGCCGTGAGAATCGCACGAGCCACGCGCTTGTAATCTGCACTCGGAATTTGCTATGGCATGGACATAGGTGGTCATCCAGCTGCATGTTTTTGTCCCAGCCATCCATTGGTTTTGGGTCTTCGCTTTGAATAAACGGCGCCATACATTCCTCCTCCTCCTCCTTCTCCTCCTCTTCCTCCTTCTACTCCTCCTTTCCTCCTCAAGCCCCTCCTCCCTCCTCCTACTCCAATACCCAATTCGGCACACCCCGCACACGTTTCGTTGCACTTCAGGGAGCTCCGCCGAAGGCTCCAGCGGCAGCATCCGCATAGCGCACCCGCACCCAAATCGGCACACCCCATCACACGCTTCGTGCCCAATCAGGGGGCTCCACCGAAGGCCCCAGCAGCAGCGTCTGCATGGCGGACGGGCACCTCATTCGTTCGGCACACCCCTCGCACGCTTCGTGCCCCCAGAAGGAGATCCGCCGGAGGCCCCAGCGGCAGCGTCCGCATGGCTACCCGCACCTGCTCCGTCACACCCTTCACGCGCTCCGTGGCCCCATAGAGAGCTCCACTGAAGGCCCCAGCGGCCGAAGGCCCTCACCTGCACGCGATGCTCGCAGCTGCATGTGGTTGGGTCCTTTGCCAGGATGATTGTCGCCAGCTTCTCCAGCTCCGAGCAGTCCTCGTTTTATTTCTCATCAATCGATCCTCGTCCTCCTGCTTCTCCTCCTCCTCCTCGTTCCTTCATGCCCCGTTTATCCTCCCTTCCTACCCCTCCTCCTGATCCTCCATGTTTTCTCGTCTCTCATCAGTCGCGGGGTGCCGCCTTCTAGAAAAACGTCATCCCTCCTTTCGGCGGGCCCGCCCTCCTCCCTCCTCCTGTCCCTCACTCCTCGGTGCTTCGTCCTTCATGCTCCGTCTACGCAGCTCCCCTTTTCCCATTGCGCATAACGCGATGGGGTCTTGTTTGGAGTTCCATGTCCGCTATGACACGCGTTCGCGGATGAGGAATCACCAGCGCAATGGGACGGGATCGGTGGGAAGGATGGGATGCTAGATGTGGCGCGAGCGCACCTGGCTTACCCGCCCTCCGTCGTCTCCTTCCTCCTCTCCTCCAACCCTCCCTTGCCGCCTCCCTCCCTATGCCACTCCTGGCGATTGCGGCATGGCGCGGAGCGCCATCCGACATGAAATTGGCCTAAAGCTAGACGGCTGGAGCACGGTGTCGACCGAGCAACCCGGAGGCGGGAGCGATCTTCTGCTCCGTGGTGGTCCCGCCTGTTTCCCTCCCCACCTCCCAAGACCTCGTGGAAAAGAGGAATTGAGGAGGAGGAGGGGGAGGAGGAGGAGGAGGAAAGGGAGGAGGAGGATGAGTTGGTGGAGGAGGAGGAGGATGAGAGGGATACGAACAATGGCGAAAGGGGGGCTGATGAGAGGTAAATGGGCGAGGCGAAAGGGAGCACGGGAGCAGGGGGAGAGGAACGACGACGAGGACGAGGGGGGGGGGGACGAGGGGGGGGGGGGGGGGCACGACGTACAGGGGCAGGCACAGCACTCCTCCACATCTAGTGTTCTGTTTTCGAGTAGCCATATTGGTGTGCCGTGGTGCCGTGATTGTGCCCATTGGTGCTCTACGGCCCCCTCTCCAATTCCGCCCTCTCCCATTCCATTAAGGCTCGGTTGCGGCAGCTGGACATCGACCCCTTTCCATTGCTTCTGCTCCGCCCTCACTCCACATACACACATAGATCGAACGAGAGAGAGAGAGAGATAGAGAGAGAGAGAGAGATCATGGCAACTATGGTTCAGGCCACCTGCTTGCAATGCCTCTTCGGGCCCCCAGACCACATCTCGTGTGTGTGTGTGCTATGCACAACGTTCGATGTGTTTAACGGCGCGCGTGCCCTGCTCACGATAGCGTAACTCAGTCCGCAGTCAGGGGATGCAGAGGGGACCCAGGACATGTTGCAGGAGTTTGATAATTTCCAGATCTTTAACCTCTTAGGCACGCAGAAGAGAAATCGATGGTAACAAACATGGACAGCGGTAAGGTTCAGGGGATTCAAATGGGTCTGGAAGTTTAGTGCACACGTGAACAGGAATTGTGGGCTTCCAGTTTGGTATTAAAGACTGTGTTTCGGCCTGCCACTCTTCGAGGACGCCTGAAAGTAGTCGCGCGGCGGTGGAGTTGTGATGTGCTCATGGCCTTGTTGTGGTGATCACGAAGCTCGATGTTGGACCGACGCATTTCGGAAGCAGTGGTCCGGGCAACACCGTTGAAGATGCTTGTGTTCCAACAGACCTTGCCGACCAAGTCCGGTTCTATAAGACACTCGTGCCGGCCATGCGGCGATTACAGGTGCATCATCAAGAGAAGTGGTTGGATCATGGTGCACAGAGAACGTCGCACAGATAAGGGACTGGGGGCCCGACGGAAGAACGCTTGCAGAGATGGGGAGCGACTTGATCTTGGAACGGTTACGGTATGCCGCAGAAATATATGTACATCGAGGCAGGTCAACGAGGCATCACGGTTGCTAGGTGAACGCCAGGATCTTCGCGAAAGGTTGTGCGAGTACGCCGATTGGGGATATGTTTTTCGTATGCTTGGCTTGTCGCAGCAGATCCAAATAAAACAGACATGGTTCAGAAAACAGAAAGCAGCAGAGTGGAGAGAGTGGATGCGTTGCATATTGCGAACAAGAGGCATGATAGGCACAAGGCCATCGTCTTGCGAGAGCGATTGCAAACAAAGACAGGGGGCCACGCAACAGGAACGAAAGAGAGGGTTTCAACAGTGCGCGCAAGGCGGGTTGACAGGGTGAGGCGAGTTGCCAACTATTGGAGAAGCAAGAGGTGGATCGCCTCACCGAGGTGCACCATGGCCCGCTGCTCTTGCACAGTAGCCAGATCGACCAGATCGGCCATTATCTAGACGCGATACGCAAACCAGCTTTGGAAACGAAGTTTGTGGGGAGAACCGTCCATGCACTCGGCGCCAGCAGCGTTACTGCGCGTTGCGATTGCGCCGAACTGGATCAACCCGAGATTGACCAAGCCCGTGATGGAAGTTGTCGCTGGCGTGAGCATGCCGAAGTTCATGGCGCCAATGATCCACTCGTATCCCAGGTCCTTGATCACCAGGATACGACGATGTAAAATTACACCAGCGCGTTGGGTGGGAATCGAGGCAGTGAAGTACACAGGGGCGAGTGGCAAGGCAGGCGTCAGCGGTGACAGGGGCATTGTTTTTGTGTGCGTGATTGCTCAATGACTCTCGAGCAGTGGTGGCGCTCTCTGATGTGGAGGAGCCTTCTCACGCGTGCAGGCGGCTCGTTGTGGGGGGGGGAGATTTGCCACGCGCTCGCGACACAACAGTGCGCCTCATGGCGTCTCTTGCGCTAGGCGGAGCAGCGCCGCGCCAGGAGGGTGCATGCTAGAACGCTGAGCATCACTTTTCTCACCTGCGCTTGCAAGATGCAGTTGGCGACGGTGGACTGGTAACGTTCAGGGTCACCTGGGCCGCGCTGCGTTTTTTGGCACGCCTGATAATCGGTCGCTGCCTTTGTCTCAGGGGGGGCCTGCTGGGCGACCCTTCTAAGGCGCGAGCCGTTGGCCGCGCGCGCAGCGAGGCGCGCGCGGGAGGTCCTCGGGCCGCCCAAAACAATCGCGCGTTTCACGTCGAGTGCCTCTGGGCCGATGCGACAGCACTGCCGGCGTTCTCCATTTGTGCCGATAAATTCGCAGATCAGTTCGCGGTCGGCTCTGGTGCTCTGGCGGCAACAGCACTGGGTGCGAAACAACAGAGGGTTTTGCATGCTAGGCTTGCCGTTTGCGAGGTGGCCCAGTATCGTGGAATGCAAGAGAGATTTACGTGGTTATTCTGTCTGCCTCCCACCAGGGGGTCGAAGCTGTTCTGTCGCGGCTAAAACGCGGCGGGCACTTCGCGCCGCGCGAGGTACAGCGCGAACTGCGCCCAGACTGGGCGGCCTGTTTCTCGAGGGGGAACCTGCGGAAGTCCAGCATTCCATTTGAGCGGAGGCGCGATCTCTTGAAATGCCGCGCGACCAGCGCGTATTCGGCTGGAGCGGACTGCCTAGCACAAGCCTTTCTATACCGCCTCCCATAGCTGCGGATTGGAAGCCCGTCGTTTCGCCGCCGCCTAAGAACGCTCGCGTCTTGCTCCGAAGCGTCGCTCGTTTCGCGGGACACAGGCGGGAACGGAGTCCAATGCGAGAGTGTTGCGCGCTGCGAGATTCGCGCCGACCCGCGTCGAGGCAAGAACGCGCGGGTTAAAGCGGCTACAACGATATCTAACTCGGTTTGAGTTTTCGACCGAGTTTCTCGGCCATGTTTTTCTATGTTTGGAAGTTCGTGGGTCGGGGGCCAGAGCTTCCCCGCGTCTCTGGCCGAGCTGGTCTTGGTGATCTCGGTGATCCGTAAGGGCTTCGCCCCATGCCGCCGGCCCCCTGTCTCGAATAATGGGAGATACAAAAGCTAAATCATGAGGTCTGGGCGCCGCCGTGAAGCAGTGTCGGGACCTGTTTGTTTCTCGACCCTGACCCTACGGATCTGCGTCACGGGTGCCACTGAATTTCAGAAATGTGGCAAATCCCTTGTGTTTTTGGACCCTGACCCCTACGGACCTGCGCGAGTGGTGCCGCCGAATCACACGCTCCGTGACCCCATGAGGAGATCCACCTAGGGCGAGACCCACAACAACGGCATTCGCAGCTGCATACGGCTGGATCGTTCGCCAGGATCAGCAATTCTCGCCGGTTCGGGCTTCTGACTGCCCAAGACGGCCAAAGAGGCTCAAAACGGCCCAAGAGGGCCCCAAGACGGCCAAAGGGCTCTACGACCTCCCAAATGGGCCCCCAAGACCG